TCCCCCCCTGTTCAACTGAGCTTGAAACTCTGGCATCGATCTGATCTTCTGAAGCTTAGAGGGCTTCTGTGAACCCTAAACCCCAAACCCTAAACCCTAGGCCCTAAGCCCTCCCGTTTCAGGTTTTTGTCCCCAAGCCTCGACTCCTCGTCTTGGATCAGGGACTCTGAAGATCGAGACCTTCTCCTGGAAAGGTGGGGACCGCGTGGAACGCATTGTGCGTACCCTCCGCGAGGCCGGGAAGTTTTCAGGTTTAAAATTGGAGGTTCCGATTATACCGGAAGCCTTCAAGAGCCCCCAAGCCCTGAAGCCTAAACCTCCCATTTTCCCTGGCTTCTGGATTCAGGTGTGTTCAGGATTTCCGGTTTTGGCCCTTTGCGTAGCTTCTCATTACAGCTCGCAGCCGCAAGGTTCATAAGGACACTCATTGTAAGGGCTCCTCACCAGGGTTCTCTAAAGCTTTTTGTCACATCTCCCGCACGCAAGGGCTTCGTATAGCCCAAGGCCTGAAAAGAGTTCCTCACTCAGCAAAGCCTGCTCAGTCCTAGGACTCCTTTGGTGCCTGATTATATAGTACATCATGCAGGATACTCTTGGAATTTTGTAGGATGTGATGGGGTATTTTTGGTATAGCATAGGATTTTATGACCCTCGCCGTTAGGGGCTTCGAGCCAAGTGCTGAGGACGACGACGAGGAGGGCATTTTCAAGACCTTCCATCACAACAAGACTGCCGGGGCCCGAGGAACACAGGCTCGTTGAGATCGGCCGAATGAGCATCCAACGTGCAGCGTCTACAAACGAACGGGAGGCTTGGTGTGTACTGCAAGATGCATCTGTGCGTTTGTAACAAGCAAGAATCGGTTTCAAGAGCCTAGCCGTGGATGAGGGTTAGTGCAAGTATAACGGTTTGACGCATCGCGTTTTTTCGACCGAAATCGTCTGGAACTTTGCATTTGGACGTCAAACCATTATCTGAAGCAATGGCTGTTTCAAGCTACACCCTGGTGTTGGGTCTGCCTGGTCAGGCCACGTGTGTTGAGGCAAGGGACTGAGCACATGAGGATGAAACCTCAAGCCCCAGATCGTAAACTGAGGATTGCTTCCCGTGAGGTTGGAACCTCGAAGCCCGAAGCACCTTTATTTAAATTGTCCCTAAAGCCCCAAAAAAACCCTAAACCGTGAACCCTCCTTCATGTTGGGCCATGGCGGCTCGGAGAGGACTTTGGGTGCACCAAGAAAAGCCGGCCAAAAAGTGCCGAGCGAATTAGTGGATTTTAGCTTCTGCGCTGTCTCTCCGCTTTCCGGAGGATGGCCTGCACCTCAGGTGAGGGGGTGTTTGGGGGTTTGTAGGGGCTTTCGAGGTTTCACGGGTTTGGGGTTTCAGTTATCGTAGATTTTTGGCGATTTGTGGCGTTTTTAGAGAAGTGCAGGTTGCTGTTGGCAAGTTGGGCCTTGCTTAGATTGCGGGGAATGGGTTGATGAGGTGGGGGATTTCCACTGCTGTGCTGAAATGCTAAGGGGTTCTACTGTTCCCGGTTAGAGTTCGGAGGCGCAGCTGGGGAGATGGAGTCCAAAGTTCTGACGCAGGGTGTTCTACGGGAGCAGAGATGCGCAAAGCCCTGAATCCAGAACTCGCATCCGCAAACGCACAAATGTTTGGGCGAACCGACATGCCAGAAACCGACGCTAAAGCTGAAAGCTGCCCAACTATGCCCAACTAGGAAAGGGGCGAACAACCCTTCGAACGTGGTCCGTTATGTTTGGCAGCTGTTTGGTCCTTGGCAGCTCTGATGCTTTTCCTCTGCGTTTGTATTGTCGTTACGTTACTATTCGTTTCTATGCTGGCGATGAAGTTGTGAGTGAGCCCATCTTGCTTACAGTTGGCACTGCCCTCCCTCGAAGATGGAACCAAAGCAGCGTGAAATCGATGAACTCGCAACTGAAAAGCGAGCAGTCGGCGAGGCATTGCATCAAAAGAGCGCACTCCGAACATACCTGCAGGCGCAAAGGCTGAATCCCAAGCTTTCCGGCCTCTGCACTGAGCTGAGCCTCAAGCCCTCCCTAAACTCCCCCAAGTGATGCAAGATGCGAAGCTGCTTCTGAGGTCATGACAGTCCTGTGTGGAGCCCGGGCAGTTTTCAGTGTTGCGGTAGGGCTCGTGGTCAAACCCTCCCACCCAACCTAAAGCTGATCAGAGGCTCTGCCAGAGACCCAAACTGAAGGGGATCTGAGTTGTTCGTTTTCTTCGACTTCCGACGCATCGGATTGAAAACTCTGTTCCTGACCCACATACAGCCTTGGAATTGCATTTAAGTCTCGGAACACTGGAAACAGACTCGGCGTCTATGAAACCTTTTGATGGTGCTCTAAAGCTTCACCAAAACCGTCAGAGGTGCATCTTTCTGCAGCTTGCTGCTGCGTCCGCGTCGCGCGACTGGCTGGCTCCCTTTCAGCGACTCCAGGCATCAGCAGCTTCCACATGGCGGATTATGGCGGATTAATTCTGCGAAAGTCTCTCGTGTAGTTGTAAGCTCACCTTAAGAAGGACGCATGCTTCTACAGTATGACAGAGCTTGCGGAACGGTTGTCTTGTAAAGGGCTTTGCGTCTGCGGCAGGTTTAGCGGATTGCACGCCGCTGTGCTTGTTTGAGAGTTTCCTAGGGAGTTACCGGAGGCCTGTTACGTCCGTTTGGTTCTACTTTGTCAGTGCACGGAAGTGTTTAGGCTGCCAGTAAGTTTCAGTAAACCCTAAACCCTATAAACCCTAAAGAGGCTGGCCTTCGGTGAACAGGGTCATGATGATGGTGATGATGATCATCATGCTCATCGTCATCCTTATCCTCGCGTCATTCTCATCATATCACCATCATGATCGCCACTACCATAGCCGCCTTTGCTACCATCACCCTCATGTAGATGAACAGCGCCAAGTACCATTTAGGTCATGTGCATCCTGAGTCGACTCTTCATCGTTCGCCTCGACCGTGCAACAGCGAGTTGGGCTCAGAAGGCGTTTCGTCATTGCTTCGACATTCCATTTTCCTGAGACGACAAGCTGGATATCAAACCCTACAGCGCAACATTCTGGACTAATCCCACAACTCTGAATGCCAAGCTTTGTACTGCTGTCCTGAGCTTGGGCCCCAAACCCGAAAAGCATTGCCGCGGACTGCTCCTAGAAATTCCATCAGAAGCGTTAGAGTCGTTGGAGTTTGCAGCGCACTCGGTGCACGAAGTATTTAGCAACGAGTTCTATCAACCACAAGTATCCGCGGGTTCTTAAGCCAGACGCAGGTGAGTTCCCCAATGGTAGTTCACGTTGTGACCGATCCGGCTCGTCAGAAGGCAGGCAGAGCGTCGAGGGATTTTGAGGGCGGTTCTCTGCAATACCTGCTGCGGATCCATAAAAGGGACCTACCCAAGTGCCCAAGTGGTTTTTCGACCCGGGCTCACGAGCCTACGATAGTTCGGTTCAATTCAAGCGTCGCCTTCTCTCATGGTCATGGCACCGTCAACCCCCACGCTTGAAATTACTCCATAGATTCCCGCAACACCCTCATCACCCTGTTTTATGTTTGCTATGCATGGATGGGCATGTATGTGTGGAAGCTAACAGGATGTGTGTGCGACGCTGGTAATGCTTAATGTCACACAGACCAACGACAGTCACAGCTTATGTCGTCAGGTCTGAATAGTTGTCAATAAGATATGCTTGAAAAGCCCCTGCAGAATTAGTTAGAGTGCAGTCCAGCATGTCGGTCAACATGCGTCGTTTAGTTTTCAGATTTGGTAGGACGGAAAGACCTCAGAACTAGATCTCGGATCGGATTGCAACTTCAATCCGACAGCGTGTCAAGTTTCTATTATGCTACCATACTTTGTTCTACAATGCTCTAGTATAACTTATTACGAATTGGAGCTAGGCTTGTTGCAACATTCGTAATGGTGCATCGGACCCTTGGTGCCATGCTCACCCCGGGGTGCTTGCAAGCTTTGGGCAAAAGACCCGAACCCCTAAAGTCTTGGACTCTAAACCCTAAACCCCTAAA